TATATATATATATATATATATATATTAGTGGTGCCAAAATTAGCGCATTAACGCAGGCGATGAATTTTTTCAGTTTAACGCGTTAAAAATATTTAACGCAATTAACGCAGGGGCGGGGCTAGGGTTGGCAACCCCACTCACAACTGCTGCTTCTGTCACTTTTTCGCTTGACAAGAAGTGCATTTATTCGAACGAGAGACGTTTCAGACGCGCGCTCCACTTCACTTCAGAGCCAGGCACGAGTCAAGCAAGCGTGGAAACGGTACTGTGCTCGCAGCGCGTGCTCTTCAATTGCACGCACAAAGACACCGGTGCGCGCTGTAGCCTGTATCCTGTCATATCAAGGTGCTAAATAAACTACGTGCATGCAATGTCGTGGTCAGTTAAGTCATGAAGTTACCAAAAAGGCGATTAAAGCTGCCTTAAAACTGTGCATGCATGTAATATATTTTATATGAGTCACATTTAAAAACATGTCTCTGAAATGGTTTTCAAAACTGTCCTGGAGCAGCCCAGCACTGTCTCCCTCATCTAACACACCCGATCCAACTCGTCAGCTCATTAATAGAGACTTTAAGACCTGACGTGGGTCAGAAAAGGTAAAAAGATTTGAGAGAAAATATGCGTGTCAGATCCACGTCACGTTCAGCAGCGGCAGCTCTTAAATTTTGTGCAGATAGCCTATAAGTCGTAATATTAACGTTATGTTGTATAAATAACGAAGTGTATTCTATATGAGATAAATGATGAGTTAAAATCCCATTGATTAAAAACCTGCTGCTTCATTCAACTGGTCATCTTCAGCGCGCGCAGCTCAAAACAGAAATGCAGAACATTGTTATTTTTTAGACTAATAAATGTTAAAATTGTTAGCTCTCAATTATACTGTAATGTTGAATGGCTATAGTCAGTGGTGGGAGGGGGAATTGACTGTCATATACATAACAATTATAATGAGATCACTATTACAATAAAACGCTGTGAATTTTTTGAGTTTAGTTGCCATGTTTCTGCACTTTGAAGCAACCGCATGCCATATTTTTAGATGAAAATAAACAAGCTGAATACCCTCAAAAATTTATATATTTTTTTTCCCCTCCCCATCAATTCTTGGACTTTTTATATTGTATTTAATGCAATGAAAAAAAATCTAAACTAAATCCAAATAAAAACCAAACTACAAATTATAAAAATTATTAAGTAAAATAAAAAAAGAAAGAAAATATTTACAAATTTTATTGTGGAAAAAAAATGATTGAAAATTTAATTTATGAACTTAGGATTTCTGCGTCCTCTCTAAGTGTGTCTTTTAAGATTCCCAGTAATACTGTGTTCAATCACACAGGCAGGCTAATGCCAGTTCTATTTTGGGCCTGCTGGTCTCTGCAAGTCTTGCCTTGCTTTGTGTCTGCAAACATTTTCTTCAGAACGTGCAAGAAGCCAAAAGTATGTGATTTCCCTCATTTTGGGGACAACCTAGAGCTGCAAATATCAGCAACACATAAAGCAACCTGATGTGACAGATTTACATGAAGCAATTTCATTTCACACAAATAAAACAAAAGCAGCACAACTACAATTTCGATCACACCATATCTGATGTTCTCCGTCGCTGATCAGCTGAACCATACTAACCTCACATTCACCACGAATGTGCTGAGCTTCATAATGAATCTGCATAGCAACATCAAACACTTCCTAAATCCTGGCTGCAGATCTTCTACCACACTCAGCAGCTTTCAAATAAACACACATTACGACAAGAACCAGACATTCCCAACCGGCCAGCCAATCAGAGGCTTGCGTTTGAATGAAACCTGCATTTACAGTCAGGAGTTGTAAAATGCTCTATATAAAACGCACTCTGCTGTCCCTTTCCAAGTGATTTGGCTGCTCTTTTATTTTGATTTGCACTTGTGATTACACACACTGCGCAGGCATGCTGCCACACCTCC